CACTGAACTATCTATCAGCCAACAATTTAAGGACAACATGCGTCAGAGTAAAAAGCAAAGCTGACCTGGTGTGGGGACATTTGTGAGATCGGAGCCTAGCTTTTCTCGGCGTATGGCCGATCTTGAATTCCAGCTTGCACCGATGACGATTTCGTACATGTCCGTAACGTCGTGGTTTTCTGGTGACAGGCCGATGTGCGCGTTGCTGCTGGCAGAGACTTGAAAAGTGAAGCGCGTTCCCGTAAGCTGGGGCAAATCCCATCGGTACCGGTAGGTGGTGTCCGTTTCTTTGAACAGGCAGTCTTCTGCAAGATATATGTAAGAGTAAAATAACGCTACCTGGGACAAGTAGAGAAATTTTCAACATGCTGTTATCATGCCCCGACTCTGTATCTGTTTACCTAGGCAAATATGTAACATTACATAATGCTATACAAAAATGTTCTCTCCCTCCGGCAAAATGTTCTCTCCCTGCAGACAAACTCCCCTGGCATGTTATCTCTCTATTTGGCCTATTTCTACACTTTCCAGCCGCCTCCCGAAGCCTGGTAGAGACTAATGTAAGCCATGACTTACGAATTACAGATATTTCGCAGTGGTTATGCAAATAAGACTCTCATTTGCATGAATAAAATGTTGATTGTATTATCTACCCAGTCGTATCTTAAGTTATGTTTTATGAAGTTCGCCTTCACTGAACTTCTTAATGACGCAACCTCGAGAAGGAAATTCCCGACAGTTACAAGTATGTAACTACATGATTTTCTCATTAATCATGCAAATCAGACCTACATAATGAATATTTGCAAATATTCCTCTCGTTTCCATTTACATACAATGTATGTTACTAGTTTGAATAGTCCTATCATGTAATGCAGCAGATTTTACTTATGGTTTTTACCTTCGCCGCCAAAAAGGTTATGTTTTCAGTAGCGTTTGTCCGTTTGTTTGTCTGCAAGTCTGTCTGTCTGTGAACAAACTTTACATTAGCAGGTTGTGTGTTTTGCGGAATCTGCAGTGTTAATGCTTTGTTGTGTTATTATGTTTACCGAAGGAAAACATATTGTTTTTACTCAGTTTCTTCCTCTTCTACTGTTCCAAACACTAACCTCTGACCTGGCCAATGGCATGATTTGTTGACGTCTGTCACCATGGTGACTGGTACCGGTGTTGGGTTACATAATGTTGTAATTTCATGGTCTGCTCTGCTCCTGTCACCATATACTAGTAGTACATGTGTGTAAATGTGTTTGAGTAAAAATTAACAGGGCAGACCATGTCCGAAGGTAGACATTATGCATTTGCTTTGCAAATGTTACTTCTCTAGTTACATAAATGTAACAACTCTATTGCAGTTCATGGGTACTTACCAGCTTCACAGATCACACAAACAGCCAGCAGGTCATCACAAGGAAAATCCCTCCACTGATTGGACACCCCTGGTGAAGTTGGTACATTCCTCTCCATGCGAACGCAGTCTGCATCTCCGGGCGCATGGTTGGGTTCCGGGGGATCAGTTGCCCAGTTGGTGTAGTTCCCCAAGAGTTCCCCATCTGTCCACCTGTAGATGTGTTCTCCCTCTACTTCTTCATGTTCAAGTCCGATCCAGCAGGAGGTCTGCTGGGCGACGCTGTCGCTGTTTCGCAGAGCCACGATATGATCGTTGATTCCTTGGTCTTTTGGGAGAGCCACCCGGGCATTCTCACTTTCGCAAAACTCTACCGCCTCTGGGAATGTTCGTTGACCGATGAATACTTGATAGCATCTGGCACCGTAGGAGCTCCATCCTGTCGGACAGCTGTCTGTATATAGGGAGAATAGAAGAGAGAAGGTCAATCAAGTCCAATATGGACGCTGAGCTATAAACTTTTTGACACGCGTACTCATGGGATTTTAGTAAGATAAAAGAACAAGTGCATTTGTCAAGATTGGGTTGAAGAAATAGATACTAGTTTTATGTAGTTATACCAATTATTACCACACACAGTGAAATTATCCTGGGCACACCACTAGTCCTACTGGACTTCCTCGTGAAAGTCATTAAACGCTATTATGAACGCAAAGTCATGTTCACAGTAAGTTCATGCCACGTATGATAAAAACAGCTGTTGGTTAATCAGTATTTTGGTTGAAAAGATGTAATTTTTACAAATGATTAGCGTATTTGCATAATCACCGAGAAACCGTTATGGTATTTATGACACCCATAAAAGTAAATATCCTGTGGCGAAGTAATGAGATCAGCGAACTCTGACTAGAACACTTTGTATGTTCTTTATGTATGCATGTATGTCTAAGTCAAGTAGTGCATCTTTTGTCTATATACGTTTGTTATGTGTCTGTTATATGTTGACCTGTACCTAGCCCGTCGTGGCATGAATGTACAATAAAGGTATTTCAATTTCAATTCAATTAATTTGGCTAAACTAGATCCTGATTTGCATAATTGCCCTCTGATTACAGTAGAAGTCACGACGATCCATCTTGAGCTGTCCTCCTTCAAATACCCTTAAACAAAAGCCCCTGCAGTTCTAGAAACAGCTGATAGGGGGACTAAACTGACTTTAATCTTTCGCGAGCACAACAGCTATCTACCATCCAAAATTGCAATCAGAACATATCACACTCACCAGTTGGTTCAAAATCTCTTTTCATTTGATCATCATCATCATCACCGCCATTGTTGTTGGCCATCACCTCTTTGTCCAACAATTCTGTGTCAAAGGAAGAAATTTCTTAAGGTAAGAACGACAGACAGAACGAGGAAGTACGTTTAACATTGTTGAGTGGCGGGTTCTAATAAAATAAACAAAATGATATACATATTTACTCCACAGCATAAATACCGGCCTTTCTTTCTTGCCATGAGTTGCTTTTATGGTGATATAAGATAATAGAAATTTTTATAATTTCATAGTTGTAACTGCTGGAAATTTCATACTTGCCACATTGGGAAGTTGAGTGAAGGTGAACATCAATAAACATAATTTATTCAAATCATGACCTCATTTGCATAATTTATGAGGAAGTGCTGTAATAGCCTTTTTGTTAAGATAAGGCTGTCATTGGGTGGAGAATAAGATCAACTGATATAATCCATGCAGATAAGCCGCTTATTTGCAAAATCAATTATCAAAATTGATTGTATAATTCGTCAACCGCAAGGGTTAACATCATTTGGCGAAGGTATGAGATCGTGGAACTCTTGTTATATCTGATATACAAGTATATAATGATAGTGGAACCTGTTACGCTCGTACCTTCAAGTTCTTCAAGCAAAACCTCCGCTTTCTCGACGTCAGGTGAGACATGTTCATCATTCAACGGTTGTTCCTTGGTAGGCATGCTCTTGGCTTGTGGAAAAAATAAGTTAAAAATCATATTTAAACTGATACGCTTGCATGTTGTAGACTCGATTAAAAACTACGCATCTCGACTTACAGTAGTTTTACAGTTTATAGACCGACCTCGAAGAGAAAGTTGAGAAACAAACGTTTAAAAAATCCAAATGGTAAATTCTTCCTTTAAGTGTTTCATTTTATATCATGAAAATGTTTAGTAATACCTGGATACACGTCTCCAGCCAGGAGTGCCAGTGCGAGGACAAGAACAACGTGACGGGTCATCTTCAGCCTTCGTCCTGTCCAGTGTCTAATTTAAGACAAAAAAAACCTTTAGCGGGAAACCAAAATTCTCACATGACCTGAGGTGTTAGCAGCATTAGCAGCGCCGCTAATGCCTCAGCTCGTGCAAGCCTTGTAGCCTGGGTGCCATCCGATTTGTAACGGCAACTTCGTGGTGTGATGAAGCCATAACAATATCTATATTTAAGCCCATACTATATATGGGCTGAAAAAATTACAACCAAAATGTAACATGATGGTCTTCATTTCTCACCGTGAGGTTTGTCTCTGAAGAGTGCTGGTGGCGTGTAGACGACGATGCCTTGATCTGAAGCCACGAGTGGTCGTTTCCCGCAGACTGCCGACAGTGGGAAAATTCCTCCTCTTTATAGCTTCGAAGTCAAACCGCTATAGGTACATCGTGCCTCCATGTTTACAATAGCTTACGCACGCATCCATTTTGTAAGCAAACGTGAAAAGAAGTCCCATTAAATGCACGCTTTATTTGAAGAGATTGTAAACATGGAGGCACGATGAACTTTGTAGCGGAACGATTGAAAGAGGTCTGCCCTGTCATGGTGGCACCTGCTATCAAATACAAGCTTTATTAAATAAATTGTAGAATGTAAACATGGAGACACGATGTATGTTCAGGTTGCCTTGTTCTGTGTCAAATTGCGAGCGTGAGCATCCTGTATTTTTTCTTAAAACAAACTTCAAAGAAGTCTACCCTGTCACTGTGGCACCTTCCTTTTATTTGAATAACTAGCCAGTAAACATGGAGGCACGATATACGTCCAGATTGTCTTGTTCTGTGTAAAATTGCGTGCGTAAGACTTTTTCTACTTTCTCGTGCCAAAGTGATGAAAATATTGGCTTGACTAGGAAAATAACAAAGGGGGTTGTATACCATATGCAGTGTCACGGCCAGAATACCAAGCAAGGGCCACTGTAAATAAATGTATATTGGAGTAGCCTGGATACCCGATGGCATCTTACAGATTTTATTTCTTGAATTACAGACGGGTCTACCAATAAACATTAAAAGTAAACAAACCTGAATTAAACATGAAATATATACAGTAACTTTAATTACCTCCATGAAAAATGGAGGTATTGTTTTTGGCGTGTCTGTCTGTGTGTCTGTCTGTCTGTCTGTCTGTGTGTTTGTGTTTCCGCACATTTGTAGTCAGCATAACTTCATAACGCCTTTATGCATTATGATGATATTTGGTATGTTGGTAAGTCTTAGGAAGACAAAGTTCAAGGTCAAATATGGGCCTCCTTGTGGATGACCTGGGTACTGCAGCAGAACTTCCGGTTTTTGTATCTTTTGTCCTGAACATGCTATGGTCTTGACTTTTTGGTGGAGTACATGTATAAATACATGTATTCCCATCTCGCTTGCACTGGTGCTCTCCCATGCGATTCTTGTCAGATGTTCTAGTGCAAGGGCACTCTAATCTCCAAGCAGATGTTTCAGTGGCTGCAAAATACAGTATCAAACTGCCCAGGCAGTATCTATTGGCCAGACTGTATCTATCAGCCACCCAATATCAGCAAATGGATACTGTCTGACCAATAGATACTGCCTGGGCAATTTGATACTGTATTTTGCGGCCAAGCGCATAAAGTCGGGCCGCCGGCGCCACCTGCAGCTGTGGCGGACCCGACCAACCATCTCACCTGTTGCTAGTGATGACGTCACCAGGGCCGGACATCTCCGGACGGGACGGTCCCCCGATTTCGGCGAGTTGGAAGCGCAGCGGCCCAAATTTTTGCGCTTAGCCGACGCATGTAGGCGAGAGATTCCCGTCGGGCGGATAACCGCCGGGCCATGAGGTCATTTGCGCCCGTAAGGGAACAAAGACCCCCAAAAGTGACTCCCTCCATTGGAAATGTATTACGCCAGTCACTTTTGAAATTGAAATCAATATAACGAAAGAGAGGACATAAAGAGCGACGAGCCTATAGGCTTAGGACACACCTCTCGCCCAGGTGCGTCGGCCAAGCGCATAAAGTCGGGCCGCCGGCGCCACCTGCGGCTGTGGCGGGCCCGACCAACATTCTCACCTGTTGCTAGTGATGACGTCACCAGGGCCGGACATCTCCGGACGGGACGGTCCCCCGATTTCGGCGAGTTTTCCTACATAACTGCATGGATATAGTGACGAAACAGTGCATACGTTTAAGTGTGTCATACGTCACGCGTGAGGATATACACTTTAATGATGACTTTATAC